CTGTCGCGGTCGAGACCCAGTGCTTCAGCGAATCGATAGTATTGAAGCTGACGGGATCCGCGTCGAGGCGCTGGCCCGTATGAGCTACAGCAATCTGCAGCGACATAGCGGGCACCCTCGAGCTGCAAAGCCTGTCAGTACAGGTCTTTGAGTGAGAATCACGCTCGGAGGTCGAGGCGTGGGCGTTGGGCAGAAGGTACCGCCTAGCTGCGCGCGTGGATGCAGGGATTCGGGCGCACAGACCACCACTGATCAAGCAATCTATGGATGGTGAACGACGCGATCAGGCGGACCGTGACGCTCTGCTCATTGTCCAAACCGGAAGCTGTACACGAAAATATGGCGGCGGCGAACGATATCACCATGGCAGACGTAGCTCCCAATTCGCATGGCGCAGACGGTCCCTCGGATTTACTGGAAACACCCCATAGCGACGCGCTTGCGTTCTCAGAGACCGAGGCACTCGCGCTGGAGCTCTATGACCAACTTCGGGAGCTTGAGCTGCAAAAGAGCCTCGCAGAAGCGCAGAACGGCAGTACGTCACACTGATGCATGTCTGAGTCAAAACTAAGGCGTTTCTAGGGCATGCGCCTGATGCCTCGGCGCTGTCAGATGACGCCGTGCAAGAGCACCTAGTCACAGCGCAGCGTGAGCTCATGGAGGCAAAGGCAAAGTTTGAGATTCGCAACAGAATATCCCACAATGTGCTGATGATGGATCCCGTGCTGAAGGCCGTGCATGGTGGAGAGGATACCGATTTCGCGGAGAAGTGAGTCGCATCTTGCTCTGATCAACATCATTATTAAACTCACGTGTAATAGACATATCCTCCCTCTAATGACAGAGAAAGATACATTATCCATGGTCCATAGCTCCTTGACCACGAAGCTCGCTTCGATAACGCATACTTTGAGTGTCACAGAGCAAGGCAACATCGACGCGAATCGAGCGAATCGCGAACTTTCCAGGACGCTTCTCGAACTGGCAGAGGAAATGAAAGCCCAATCCACTGAGCACATCCAGGACGCACGACTCCGCGACCAGGTCGAATCGGTAGAGAAGGACTTGAGGCAGTCACGAAGGAGGATGCGGACTCTGAAGGGAATATTGTCTGCGATGATCGTTGGAAGCGGACTCAACTGGGCAGCCGACGAAGTTTTGCGGGAGCTCGTGATGGACGACGGGGAGGACGGGTGAGCCGGCACCGGCCAGCGTTACAGGAACAGCATCTTACTCAGAACATGCGCGATTACCTGCGGAGAAGTCTGCATGGTCCCAGGAGCGTCCAGTCATATGAGGTACAAGTAAGCGTTGCTGCCGCAGGCGCAGAAGCACGAACATCGACAGCGCAGCACGTACGGAGTGTGACCCCGTTGACTTGGGTGCTAGGCAGCCCTTCGAGCGGGTTGCAAGGTAGAAGCCCCCAGAATTCAACTTTTCATATCCGGATTCTTCAAAGTTCAAGGTGACAAGTCTGGATGTCGGTTTATCGATAAGGGTGGGGAAGTAAACCATTGCGGACACGGACACGGTCGTTCCCAGGCTCACGCGATGGTAACGTCGAGTCAGACAAAGGAGGCCACAGTGGTCTAGCAAGAACCGCTCTGTGCAAGCTTCGATGTCATACAGTGATGTTGGACTGTGTGACTTTGCCTCCATGGTCTGAGCGGCGACGCATACAATCTGTGGCAGGGTTCACCGCTTACGAGATTTTGAATGCAACGGCCGTGTACGGCCCCGCTGCGCACAGTAGACTAGTCGAAAGAGACGTGGGAAAGACGTGAGCGCTAGTTTAAGTGTGCCGCTCGGGCAAGGTGAACGCCACGCTGCAAGGCACGGTAAGGCTTGCCTGTGCTGATTCCGGCAGCTATGACCCTGGAATCATGACTAATCCGTCGGCTTTTGATATTCGCCGTGACGTGGACGAAAACTGGCCGTACCGTGGAGAGCGCAAACGCACATGTGCAGGTCCAAATCCTACGATGAGCCTTGAATTTGAGATGTCTCCTGAGAGGTGCATAGTCGGGACTGAATGGGGCGCATTGGTCGTCGCGGCGGAAGATGGGGACCGCCCAGACGGGAGGCCGCTCCAGCCTGCGCACACCACGTCTGCCGCGCGCTGTCACCGACATGAAACGGAACCCGTGCAGAAGGCATATCAAACATCACAAGGCCGGCGCTCCATGCTCTTGCGCTCACATCGACGCCGGGGACGGCGCGCAAGAGCGGTTGTTTTGGAAATACTACATTGGGACTAGCGCGGCGACCATTTCCGTCGACTGCGGACTCGGTCGCGCAGTATCGCTGCAGCATTTCGCAGATATAGGCATCAAGCGTAATTCGCGGTGCACTGGAACGGCAGGGCGCGCCCGAAGACTAAGCACAATTGCCGAGGAAATCTCGCACCATCCAGAGTGGCCTGCGCGGTGGTGCATGCAAGCGGCGCACTCCCCCTTCGATGTGCCATGCTGCGGGAGCGAGCGCATTCAGCCAGCCGGTGTGGGCGCGCGGGAAACAATTGGGAGGATAATTTCGCGCAGAACGAATAACGTTGCTTCGGCGCCTCGCTGCAATCTAACAGGCAACATGAAACCAGGCGCTGGCACGGTCGCCGGGACGCTGAAGGAATGTAGGCTCGCGTAGCGCCCTGGATTCTCACGGTCGGGCATCGGGGAACATGGCATCGTGGGCGCAACAGCAGCAGGAAGCAAGAGAAGAGGAGCGAAGTGATGTTCGCAACTATTAGTTCCATCTCAAGCGCGCTGCCCGGTTGTATCTGCAATTATCACGTCGGCTTCTGCGGTAGAAGCAGCCGAATCGTGCCCTCCGCCTTTGTTTTCAAGTTGGTGAGGGGACCTGCCCTAGGTGTTAGCCCAGTCACGTGCCCCCGCTGCTCGTTATATGGGGGACCTTTGCGTGCCCACGTCTCTCGCAGAGGCTCACACCCAAATCCTCACAGCAGCGTCTCCAAACTGCCCATCGCCCAACAACGCCGCTTGGTAGGTCTCGCTTCCCTTTCTATCACTGGTACACCTTCAGCACCACATGCGCACCGCAACGACACTTTATTTACGTGTTTTCCGCCGCTTTTCACGCGAATATGACGTTCGCGACTGCTTCTTTTGCATCTTCATCGCGTCATCGCGTTCCATCTCTTCGTCGTCGTCGCCGTCGCCTTCGTCTGCGCAGCGAGCGCATGCAGTACTGACGCAACATAGACCTTGATCAACGGCAAATTTCGGCCCATTTCCAACAACATCTGTAAGTGCACCCTTCCTGTCCCTGCAAAATCGCGCATTCTGGCGACGCATCATGGTGTTTTGCGACCTGGGTGCACACCGCGGATTGGGCGGGCGCCCTCTACCGCATATCAGTCGCATATCAGTCACATATCAGCCTGGCAACGCCACATTGGCCTTCACCTCAACGCGCGCCTTGATTGACGCCTGCCTTTGCTTTCTCCCCTCGATTCTCTGTTCTCTGTTCTGTTTCAGCCTCACCTTACCTCACTCGATCCAAGCCCGCCTAAGCACCACTAATCCTCCACGGCAGAAAGCTTGCATAGCTACCCTACATCATGCCTAAGGAGAAGACCACCCGCGGCAAGGGCAAGGCCAGGGATACCGGCAAGAAGAAGAAGGGTACGTCTTCTGCATGCACCCCTCGTTCCTAGAGTGTCTGACTCTAACCGGACCAGACCCCAACGCACCCAAGCGTGGACTGTCTGCCTATATGTTCTTCGCCAATGACCAGCGCGACAAGGTGCGCGAGGACAACCCCGGCATCAAGTTCGGTAAGTCGTCGCTCGACCTCGCATGTGTACGTCGCTAACCTCCCCAGGCGAGGTCGGCAAGATGCTCGGTGAGAAGTGGAAGACCCTCAGCGAGAAGCAGCGCCAGCCTTACGAGGCCAAGGCCGCTGCTGACAAGAAGCGGTACGAAGAGGAGAAGGCCGCCTACCAAGTAAGTCGCTTGCTCCTTGTCCGACGACCACAGCTAATCCGACCAGGCCGGCGCTGAGGAAGAGGAAGAGGAGTCCGAGTAATGCCTCACACTCTCGGCGGATGTTCTTTGCCCACATGACTTCGTTGTGGGTTACATCTGAAGGTCTACTCTATCGGTCGGCGGTTATGGTGTCATGGGCTTAGGATATCTCGGTTTCCTATGTTTATCTGCTTCTATCTCTGCTATGGAGTGGGTCTCGGGGAGGTTTGCGACCCACGGCGATTTTCGAAAGGCCGCAGCAAGCTCCCTTGTGAGGCTTCATTAATGATGTTTGGCGTCTCAGTCAGCTCCAACGCGGAAGACATCACGAAGCTCATGTCATGTGTACACTAGTTTTCTGCGGTACGAAATCCCTGCTGACATTAATCGGTTCCTACTTTTGATGTGTCGGTGATGTGTTTGGTGTCTGGGTGGTTGGAGTCTACTCGAGTCGCGCTCAGCGTAGCGCTGCTCATGCCTTCGTATATCGAATCCCAGCTCGACGCGATGATGTGTCACGTTTTCCCAAGCGTCTTCAACAAGAAAACGATCGCTCAGGCTTGTGATACGAAGATCACACTATATGACCGTCGACCGACGGCGTCGCGCTCACCAATTTCAGTCCGATGGAGACACGTCGTAGGAGTAGTCGTCCTCACGCCCCATCACTGAAACGGAGATGATGAAAATACAAAACATGTATTGAACCCAATGTGAAAGCACATCTTCTCCGTGCCATGTCATCTCTTCATGAAATTCATCCTAGCAGCCATCCCCTCACACCCGCCAGTGCCTGCTCGTCGCTTCGTTACCGCCGCGGGAAGCTGCATCCACAAACGCACTTTCCCGTCCTCATCTCCACAATCAATATTCATAATCAAATTCCCCTCTGGGAGATGCATCCAAAATTTTGTCCATGCAACGAATATGGGGTCGGTACTATTTATGCTCTTTGGTTTTCTAAGTAGGATATATATTTGTTAACAGCACTTAGACTTCAAATATCAAAGCACTCGAGCGTCGTTAGCCCAGTGGTTAGGGTATCGCCTTCCCACACTGAATGGGCGATAGGCGGGGGTCGTGGGTTCGAGTACGTATCCTGGAGTGGATTGTGAAAGGGATGTGAGCTAATGAGAGTAGACCCCACACGTCGCAAGCGAAATCTTTTTTTTTTTTTGATACTTTGCTCCCCTGGTACACGTAGAGAGAGATACGAGTTCCTTTTCTTGTTTTGGACATACATGTTATTGTGGTCGGAGTTTTTAGGGTTGGTGGAGTGGAAAGGGTCGAAAGGCGCAGAGGAATGGTAGGGTGCTAGCGGGTTAGAAGAATCACCCATGTCAAAGACATTTTATTGTGCCGCATGATTATCTCTTTTAATTCTTCGAATAGTAAATGCCAACTAAGCAAGCATGGACGCCACGCTTCCTTTTGCCCAGTGTCCCAATGCACGAAATAACCTTGCGGTATCTTCTGTTCTCGCTCTACAAGCAGTACATATTGAGATGCGCCCAGAAATACGCGCAAACCAGTCTGCTCTATTTTCAAAAGACGCAACCCTATGCTACCATCACAAGCCTACTGTCACTCTAAGAATGCTAACGTCGCGCTGTCTTAGAGACTCTCTCATTCCCGCTGCAGCACGACCATCAGGCCCATTATACCCAGCATAGCCTGTTTGAGCCACGGGTACTCACTCAGTAGGATGGTGACGTATCCTACGAAGGGAATGAATCCGGCCACGCTCCCGATCACGTCTTCTTTGCGGTTGAGGAAGGATTGGCCGGCGGCGTAGAGTTCGGTATCGTCTGCGAGGTTGTTGTCGCCCTTTGTGAGTAGGCGGAGCGGTGTTTTTCTATCACTTCATCAGCCTATTCCTCCAGAGAGCATGTGTCTCCAGCGCCAGTTGCGTCCAAAGCGCGCATGCAGACTGCATAGTGGTTAGGATGCGCTTACCCTCCTCCATATCTCCGCACCACGCGATGCACAATCGGAATATCCTTGCCCTTCACATTATACACGACTATTTCTCCGACCTGTGTATCCATCCCCCGATTCCACAGAAATAGCAGGTCGCCTCTTTGAAACGCTGGCTCCATGGACCCGGAGAGTACGACGACGATGGGCGAAGGCGAATCAGAGACGACAGAAAGGCCTTTCCAGAGCATGAAGGCGGTGGATAGCACGAGTGCGAAGTTGAGCATTTGTGTGGCAAGCTGCCGCGGCTGCATGTTGCTGAGGCCGAGCATAGTGGTGGGTGTAGGCCGTCGCGGGAGTGGCTGAAGAGGTGGACTCCGGGGTGGGTTGGTGGGTTTGGGGTGAGAATTGGTTTCTTCGGGGATCACGAGGCGATTTTGTACTGCTGGATCGGAGCGAGGAGGTAGGAAGGGAAAGTTGGGCGGGTACCAAAGTTGGAGAGCTCAATAGCTTGATGCCAGATAGGTGGTGCGTTGCGCAGCGATTGGTTGACGTAGGGCTAGCGTGGGATGACTAAGCTGGGCCTTCAAAACCACTGAAGGCAGTTTCTTGCGCACCATCCTCATCTCTCAGCGTTGTCCGGTTTGGTCACGTCGATGAAGTTCTCTATCGAGAGGTGGGGTAGTGATCTCCCCACCGTTGGCAGGGTGCCTTTACCTTGGCTTCTGCTAGTTCATCATGCCCGAAATGATCTTGTCGCCGGAAGTACTGCGAAGCCAAGCTTCTCTGCACCTCTACTTCTGTCCCGTTATCTTCTGTAGACATACTGCTAGGTTGTCTTGGCCCTTTTCGTTTCCTGCTGCACACTTCTCTTTCTCTTAGGTGTCTTACAATCACTCCAGAATTCGACCAGGCGCGAGCCCTGGAACGCCTCCGTCTCTCACCTCTCACCTCCGAACCGTTCTAGAACAGTCTATATGGCTCTCTGCTTGATTCTTGTGTATTCTTCTTTGTCTTCTGTTCATCTTCTCCGATTACATCTTAAAACTGGAACCTACCTCTCCTGCAGCTGCAACACTTTGCCGACTCTGGCACATCTTCCGAAATGTTCCAGCCTGCCATAGGGGATTATTGTCTTTTCATCAGACCAGATTCACCGTCGCCGCCATGGCCGGCCTTGATCTGCACCGACGACATGGCGCCCAGACGAGTCTCCGATTCAAGACTTCCGGGTTACAATCACCTAGTCTTGCTCATCAAGGATGAACCCGAATTGTAATTACATGACTCGTCTCAACGTGGAACCGATGCTAACGGTGCTAGTTGCTATGCTTTGACGACCGAGTTGGGAATGTTTGACTTCCCCGACCGGGATGAGCTAGGACAGTCCTACGGCTTAGAGCGGGCTTACGATCTTGTTCTCTCCGCAATGGATCACAGATCCACACTGGACTACTGGGCAATGATGACCGAAAATCAGCGAATGCAGAACTCTGTCCCCAAACATGGTTGGTCGTCGCCATCTGAGGACTCAGATTCAGATCAAGAAATAAGGGAGGCCAAACGAAGAAGTCGCGTCGACTTGAAACGAGGAGACAAGACTACACTGCCGACGCCTTCTGTATCTCCGCCGAAGCGGAGACCATGCGGTTGGCGTCATGTCTCACCTGGCTTTCCAGAGGATATTCGGAGGCATTTTCTACCTGTCACGGATGCTGCCACAACAGCTAGCTCCAGTCAAGGCCCTTCGACCTCTCTGCTGAAGCAATCCCCTGACGTCGTTGAGGGTCTCATGTATGTCAACGTTCCATAGTCGTTTGCTTAAATCTGGCTAACATCATGACCTGGTTAGATCAGAAAGCAAGGAATTCGTCGAATTTCTTGTCGGTCCTGACAAAGAGCCATTTTCGATTCCTTCGGCAGAAATTAAAAGGCGTCTATATTTCCACAATAAACATCACGGATACATGAGAGCAAAAGGAGAACAAGGATGGACAATCGAATTACCGGGTCTCGAACTCGTATCACCTGAAGATTTCCGCCACGTCGCCGATTTTCTTAGCACTGGCACTTTCGGACACCGCGTCATCGACGACAACAATCGCGCTGAAGCCATGGCACAGCTTGTCGCAGCCTGGGAGATAGCCGAGCGTTATGGCATGGATGATCTTCTAGGGCATATCGTTTCGAAAATAGAAGAATGCATGCCGTGGGACCCCGTCGAAGTACTTGCCTTCGCCATCGTTGTCTACGGAACTGAGGGCTCATGGCTCGAAGAAATTGAGAACATGAAGAAGATGCTCACGGAGTATATGGCGGGCAACTTTTACGAAATGATCGAAGAACTTCCAAAGGACTTCCTATTTCGGCTGCGACAAATTCCCGAGCTGCAGCGAGATGTTCACCGGAGGATTGCGAACAATGCCGACGAAAGGGCGGAAGCTGCGGCACAGATTTAACCGGCCTTGATGGGACGCATACCGAAAGGCATCCAGAATGAACATCGACACCGTGGACACGGATCAATTATGGTCTAGCGATAGTGAAGTATTTACATACACGTGTGACACATTGTAGTTCGGCGAATTTTTGGATGGGGTTGGTGAACGGCCGATATGTATCGTGCGTTCAGGTTCTCTTTGTTCCCCAACCTTGCAATGATTTCGTCTTTCAGCCGTTCCTGTCTTTGCTGTCTCTCAGTGGTCTTGAATCAATTTCAACTTCAAGAAGATGTGTTCGGTACTTCTCAAGCGCGACCAGACGAGAGTCAGGAAAAGCATTAGGAGATGTATGGAAAACATTTTGCAGCAAATCGTTTCTCCAGAAAAGTCGATTATACGCCGGTCTTGCATCGGTGAACGACAGTTCCGACTAAGGTCAATTCTGGTGGCGGCCAACTTGGGGAAGGTTTTAGCGAGAGGCTGCACCCACACCACTCAGAACATCTCATGTCGAATGACTGGTCGCAGCCTCGTCGCAAAACACATAGCACTGTCAAAGTTCGAGCTTTCCGAATCTTGCTGAATTGTTCATCACCTTTCTCCACAAGAGGAGACTCCGTCGCGTCGCAACTGCAAGAGAATTGCAAACGAATAGTTATCCAGGTAAATATAGCGACCGCGCGTGGATCACGACACCGGGAACAGAGCCACAACGCCACATGAGCGCCCTATGCACATTAGGATGCAAGGAGTTCGTGTTCGCGGACCGTAGGCGAGACACCAGACTTTCCAGCCATTCGTATTGCTTTCGCATTTTCAGCCCTCAGCCACCAATGGAATGGAGCTAAGGTTCTGGTCAAGCGTGGGGTCGAGCCTCAATACTGCACTTGCAGCTGCAAGTCGCGACTCGACTTAAAGGCGAGCTTGCACCTCAGCCCAGTCCCGCTCCCGATGCGAACCTCAGCCTTGCGACGCAAATATTTTTGCGTGCTCCTCCTACGGCATTCCTTCATCCCCACATGATCGTGAACGACGTCGTTTGAGAGGCTCACCTCAAGATGTCGTCGGTCGTAAATTGGATCGAAACCGCGGCCTTCTTCGGTCGCCCACTGCTCTACAAGCGTCAGTTGCAATCTAATCAGACATGCGAGGTGAATTCCCCTTTTCTTCAGCTTGTCCCGCACTAACGTCGCATCCAGGAAGCAGCGGCCTCCCCAGCGTTCTCAGAGGCATTTGCTTCATGCAGAGAGCAAGCAGCTGGTGATTGTTCGACGGCCGGGGCAGACACATTGACCGAAGATGCTTGTGTTTGCGCGACGCTGGATGCCTACGACTCGGCTTTCTCGGCGTGCGTATTTGATACGCCGTACTCAGATTGCATTGATCCAAGTGAGTTTTGTTTATGGTTTGGGGGGAGAAGTCGCTCAACAGAGGGTTAGATAATGCGCAAAGTGTGTCGGACTGGTCTTCGGGGCATTGCACGACGTCTCCTACAGAGCCTACATCACCGACGTCGCCTACATCACCTACATCTCCTACGTCACCCACAGAACCTACAACGCCTACGATACCTCCTCCGGATATCACGAGTCCGACGGATAGGAGCACATCTACCACCGAATCCACCACGGAATCGTCCAGTACGTCTACCTCCCTAGGGTCCTCCACTCCGGAGCCGAACTCATTCTCAACTTCTTCATCAGGTACCTCGTCAGAAAAGTCCTCGACGACTCCAATGAGCACGCCCAC